CTGGCCTGTACCCCAGTTCTGTATGAATAAATAAATAAATCTTTAAAAAAAAAAAAAAACATAAATATGCACCCTGAAAGGAAAACTCTCTTCCTTTTTAAGTTTTAAGATTTACTCAGAGAGAACCCCAAAAGGGAAAATCAGTCTTTCTAGTCTCCCTTATTCAGGGGTGTATTGAAAAAAGAGGGCTGACCTGGCTGGTTAACTTATGCAGTACGAGATAAAACGCAAGCTGACTGAGTCTATAAAATGTCCACCACAGGGCCAGGCAGAGAACTGGCATTTACATGATGTTTGTTCATACTTCTTGTCCTTTGCCCACTAGTGTTTACTCTTTGCTTTGATTCTGTTGTTTTCCTCTTTTTGAAGGAGCAGAGATGATGATACACACAATCTACACAGAGGACTCCCAGGACATGAAACTGAGTCGCCAGAGAGATTGAGTCCTGTCGGTACTTCTCTTCTCCCAAGAGAAAGAGAACAGGCTGAACCAACACTGTCAACTCAGCAGACTGCAGCCAGCACTGGTCATGTGAGTCTAACTTCTAGGAGCCTCAGTTGGATGGTGCTCCCCCAGAGCCACCAAACAGATGTACGTAGATGGCTTAAACACAAGAGCACGTAGGAAGGAGGTGGGTGGGAACAGACACTTGGCTATGGCCTGCTACCTTGCCCTGGACTCCAGCCTTGAGATGCATCTTTCTGAGGACCAGACACCCATTTCTAATTCTTATAAAGGTACTAAAAGGAAACATGGTTCCCTACATTCACACCACTTCTGATGCCAAACGTGTGGAGGTTTTTCCCATATCCTACCAATCTCCAACTCTCCAGATACCAACTGGGTGTCCTCACCACTCAATTCTGACAACCTACCCAGAGTTAACACAGACCTCACAAATCAGGGTCTCAGTGCCACAGAGTGCCCCGGTTTAGACATCAATCTGAAGTCCTGGGTTGCCTCCTATACTATTAGACAGGACTTAATGGGGATTCCCACAATCCACTTCTTGGGTTGAGTAATTTGGAACACTCACAAAACTCAGTAAACATTTACTATTACTGATTTATTACAAAGGATATTAAAGATACAAATGAACTGCCAGATGAAGAAATACACGGGGTCCCAAGCACAGGAGCTTCTGTCCCTGTGACTAGGTATGATTGGTTAAATTATGAGTAGATCAGGCCCTCCCTGGTGGCTCAGCAGGTTAAAGCGCTGCACTAAGAAGCTAAAGTCACTTCCACATGAGTTTGATTCCCACCTGCCCCGGAGGAGATCCACATGGCGGGGCAGACCTCTCCTGACCTGCCCGCTGCTCCCCTCGGCAGTGTACTTCATCTATCTGCCTGTTCTGCTCCAGGCTCTGTCTCTGGTGAATCCTCTCACCCGCCGCATCTCTGGCCTGTACCCCAGTTCTATGTGAATAAATAAACAAATAAATAAATAAATAAATAAAAATTATGAGATCATAATGAATTCAACCTCCAACCCCTCTCCTCTCTGAGATGGGGGGTATAGGATGGAAAATCCCCAAACTCTAATCACATTGTTGCTTCCTAAGCCTCCTCCTCCTGACCTTTCCAAAGTCACCCCAAATCACCCCATTAACATAACCTCCGGTGCTGTGAAAAGGCCTTGTTATGAATAACAAAGACACTCCTTTCATCTTCACGTTCCAGAAAGGACCAGGGATTTAGGAGATCTGTGCCAGGAAGCAGGGATGAAGACCAAATCAGTATTTATTACATTACAGTAGCACAGGTTGTAAGTGAGTAGCCAGGGCCCAACTTTGTCGCCCTCTCAGAAGAAACTTCCCTATTGTCCCAAAACATGGAGAAAAGTGAAGACAGACATGGCTGGAGTGGATTTTCCAGAAAATCAACAAATGACGCAGCAGTGAATAAAGCTGGGTTTCATTTAAACTAGGTAACCACTGATTGTGGCAACAGCAATCTATCAAAGGTGAAAACCGCTTTGCTTTGATTCAGTCCTGTCGACCATGATGTAACTTCAAAAAAAGGCAGATCACAACATGTATTCTTTTCCTCTTTTCTCCTATAAAATTATCCCTTACTGTTTTAAGTCAAAAGCGGTGAGCTTTTGGATCTCCTCACCAGCTCCGCCCTCTCTAAGACTCACTCTTCTGCTCCGTCTGGCATATGCATGAATTCCACGCTAAACCATTCTGTCATCTTGTTCAACATAAGCTTCCTTTGATGTTATTTTATGTTTTGGTTGGTTGTTTTTGTTGTTGCTTGTATGTATCATGGTCCTTTTCCTTAATTTTTTCACTTTTAGGAGATGGACTATCTTAACAAAGCCAAAAGAAAGAAAAGGACAAAGACAGACAAGACTAAGCCACCCAAAGGGGAAAGAGAAGGAAAGGTCCACAGGGAAGCAGAGGCTGCAGTTGGTAAGGGGGTGCGCCACCAGGACAACCCAGGGCAGACTCCAGTTTGGGCCAGGAGGTGTCACAGAGAACCAACATGGATTTTACTGGACAATCTCTGTTTTGATTCTCCTGATCCAGCAAAGGCAGGACAGTGTGCAACTTACCTTCATTTCAATGACTAGGAGACAGGGGCAAAGGAAGTTAAGGATGCCTAGCATCTGCTACCACATTTACTGACACCCCACGAGATCTCCATGAGTGCTAGTTCTGTCATGTAGAAAATGAAGCTGAAAAAGGCTAGGTGACTTGCACAGGGCTAAACAGGTCAAACAGTAAAGTTACTGCCATTTGACGCTGAAAGCACACTAGTACCACTGTCTCTATGAACTAATACCTAGATCATAATCTGAGGGCTGTGTGGAGACAGAAGGGAGGAAGGGAAGGAGAGCAACAAGCTCTGAATGGCCGCCCCAGCTACCATTTTCCTCCTTGGGTCCCTGTGTTGTAACTTACAAGGAATTCAGATTCCTAGACTCCTGAAAATTTTCTTGAGCTTGAAACCTACACCCATCCTTTCCTGGCCACGTGACTCAGGAGACCCTCCAAGCAAATCATAGACTGATGGAAGGGATGACATGGATAGTCTCCTTAGCTAGATCTGTTTTTGAGGTTTGCTCTTTAAAGTCTTACTGAATTTACACTCAGCGACTGCCAAGTTTACACAGACACTGCTGTAGTCTATGATTTGGGTAGCAGGACTGGGAAAAGTAAATACTTGAGGCCTCTAGAAGTGAACTGAGGAAGACTCCTTAGAGCACGGAAAGTTTAAGTAGTGCCTGGTTACAGAGCTGACTGTGCAAGCCAGTCTCTCAATGGCTGCCCAGCTGTGTCTTTAGGTCCAGCTGGAGAGTCTTTCCCAGGCCACAGGTTAGGGTGAAATAGAACTTTTGTAGTAGCACAACTGCTAAATCACACTGGATCCAAATGGGAATGGGGAATTTCTCCAAGGATAGTCTGTGGACTTCTCGCGTATCAGTGTTTGGAGTGCACATTCCTCCAGAATCAGATCTGGGCGTGGGACTCAGGAACCTGCCCCCCCGCCAAGTGATCCCACAGCACCCTCAAATTTAAGAGATCTCATTTAATTAACTGTATCTCTGTCCCCATTGTCCTTATCCAGGGAAATCAAAGGAATCAAAGTCTGAAAAGAAGTTAGAGCTAATTCACAAAGAAAAGAAAACAGGAGCCAAAAGAGAAAGGACACAGAAGGAAAGGAATCTAGAGACAGCAGCAGGGTCTTCTATCACCAACACTAAGGAAGTGGAAGACACCTCAGAGACAGACTGCTTTCCTTCTACTGCAGAAGGGCTTTCTCTCAAAGACAATTCTCATGAGAGTCAAGTGTCTATAGATGGAAGATCATCACCCACCCCGATGGTAACTGTCCCTGATGAAGAGAAAAGCCATGAGGACCCTTCCAAGGTAAAGCCCAATGTTCTCATCTTGGCCAGAAGCATTTCTGACCTCACTAGTACAACTGCCCTGGATTAAATTAGTTTCTGAAACAATTCTACCACAAAATGGCTTTGTTTGTTCTACTTTGATTGCTTCTGGTCCTTTAAGAAGTCAGACCTGACTGAAGACACAGCAAAGCCTTCTGAAATGATGCATTCTGCAAGGCTCCTCAGCTGCCTGGCGTTGTAGCCACCCCTTTAGAAAGCAGGATAAGCCCCATATCCTCATTGTTACAGGGAAGAGTGAATACAGGCCAGTAGAGACGTCAGTTGAGTACATATGCTTGGCATGGCCTGGAGCTCACGCACTGCTTCCTCTCAAAGTCTATGCAAAGTCTGCCACTCCTAATTTACTTTTCTGGACCACAGGCAACTTAGACACACACATCTACTTCACAGTGCTTCTGCATATAACAGTCATGGTATTCCATGGAAATGCGATTCTAATGTCAAGTATATAAAAGAAAACCTAAGTGAGTGTAAGGGAAATTGCACTTGAAAATTCCAGCAATCAACCAAATATAAAACCATACAGCTACCTCTCTCAATAAGACCAAGAGCCCATTTTTCTTCTGCTGTCGGTATGGGTCATTATTTCTTCCATTGATGATCACTATTTCACCAGAATAGATTGCTATTCTTCCACCAATTCTTCTCTTGTACCAGAAAAAAAGTATTTTTAAGGATGATAAGAATACCCATAGCCAAGTGTGTGGTTAGACTGACCTAAGTCACACGTGGATGGTACAACTCTGCAAATCTCACAGCCCCACTTGTGAGCCAACGGTGCTTAGTCCCATTTTAGACCTGGAAATTGAGGTTTTAATGTCTGTTGCCAAAAGTTACACAACCATTGCGTGCTAAAGCCCAAAACCCTAGCTTTTGACTCCAAAACCAGAGCTCTTGTTACTACTTTGTTATTATGTATTTATTTTATAACCCAGTCTTCTGAAAAAGGAGTTCAGAAAGATTTTTCCTTTATGGTTCTCTATGCTCCTAGATGGAGAACTTTCATCTTTACATAGCAGATGAACAATTTACCTATGTGCAAAACTTTTCTGAGCCCACTAGGTTATCAGAATTTTTTAGATTTATTGTCTATCCATAGTACCATGTTGCCTTTGAAAATGCTAAAAAAAAAAAAAAAAGAAAAAGAAAAGAAAGAAAAGAAAACAAGGAAGCTTTACCCTGAGTTAAATACACATGCAGAATTACCTTTCATGTCTCTCCCCATCGGCATATTTCTGACAAAGGAAGGGGCACCATGGAGAAGAAAACTATGGTACTTCTCACATAAACCAAGAACTTTTCATGGAATAAACGGGTTTGTAAAGAATAAATCCAAGTCCAGTATATCTATATCTAAGATTATCTCTGATAAAACAGCCCTTATTCTAACACACGGTTCCCAGCCCTGGCTTCACTTTAGAATCACCCATTTGTCTGGTTATGCACTGGCCTCCAGTAATTTTTAAAAGCCCCTTGTGTAATCTGAAAGGGCAGCTAGGATTCAGAACTTTAGATCACAATTGTGACCACACTTTCATATTATCAACTAATCCCAGTAATAGTCCCAAGAGGAAGGCAATGCCAAAGCAATTCAACTGTGGCCCCCAAGTCCGAAGAAGAGAGAAACTAGGTCCAAAACCTAAGTTGGCCCCTGGCAGCAGAGTTGATGCAAATTAGCCAGAATGTAGAAACCACTTCCACCTGGGCCTGGAGACAAGTCTGGGACAAGTCTGGGACACCACTCTGAGACATGCTCATGGGTGGTCACACTGCCTGTCCTCTGCTTGCCTAGGCCCTCCTCACCAAGAGGGAGCACCAGGACAGGCTGCGGAGAGAAAGGGCGGAGATGAGACGGCTGGAGGTGGAGAGGAAGAGAAGGGAGCAGGAAGAGCAGAGGAGACTGCAGCAGGAGCAGCTGGAAAGGGCAGAAAAGATGAAGGAGGAGCTGGAGCTGGAGCAGCAGAGACGCAGAGAAGAGATCCGGTGGGTGGCGCAGGCATAAACACGGCAGCGTTAGGAAGCATCAGGAAAAGTCAGATCCCAGGGGGAGGTGTGGATCTGAGGTTTATGTCCCGAATGAAATGGCAAGTCTCATTTTTCTCTCTTTAGCTACCCTAGGAACAACTTGGACCAACGATAAAATGCCGTGTTTTGTCTGTTGAGGGGTTACTGTACATAGATATTCATGGAGCCTTCTCGAGAGAACTTTAGACTCAGCCCAGCAGACTTTTGTTCAGCTCCTGTCACGTCTCTTATTGTCTCCCAAAGGCCTTGGCTCATTTAATCGTCACAATCCTGTGAGATGAGAGTCGCAAGATCCATTTTAAAAGAATGGAAAATGAAACCCTGGGAAATCTACCTGAGCTCAGAGCTGTGTGTGAAAATTTCTAGGCTTCTAGTTCCAGGCCATGTAGTTCCTCAGCTCTTCAGTGGGGTAACCAGTCTCCTCCAAATGGGGTTGTGCCTGTGGCATGTGGGCTGCATAACCTCCACGGGGCACTGCCTACTGGCTTGTCTCCCAAGGGTGCCCCAGCATTTTCTGCCATTCTCCTGATCACTGTGTTTTCGCAGTTTGATGAAACAGAGACTTGAAGACGAAAGGCAGCGCAAGGAGGAGGAGGAGAGAAGGCAGAGGCTCCAACTGCAAGTGGCACAGGAGAGAGCCCGGCAGCAACAGGAGGAACTCAGGAGAAAACTGCAAGAACTGCAGAAAAAAAAGCAGCAGGAAGAAGCCAAGCGGGCTGGTGAGGGAGATTTTGATGCTCTCTGCACCTACACTCTAACTGGGGCTGAAATATTTTTATCCCACTGTGGGTATCCATTTGACTCCCCCACTATTCCTAGCTTTGACTTTATTGTGTGGAGCATAATCAAGTATATAAACGTTTTCTCCAAGGTGATTAACATGTGTTACTATAGTGAGAGAGATCAAAATAAAATTCACTGTGGAAACACTCCTGGATCCCACTCCCAATTCAATCATCTCCTCAGGGGATCCTGCCCCTCCCTTTCAGCACTGCTCAGCAGCTTCCTAGAGACACAGTCCTGCCCTTTGCTATCCCCTAGCAGACAAAAACAGCATCTGGGGCCTCCCTGGTGACACAAAGGGTTAAAGTCTCAGCACCGAAGGTATCCAGGTATCCACAGCGGCAGCAGCACAAGCTCAATACCCAGCCCCCTGGGGATCCCACTTGGAGCAGCAGACCTCCCCTGAAACACCACCCACTGCTCCCCTAAGCAGTGTATTTTTAGTCATTCCACCTGTTCTCCTCACCACTCTGTCTCTGGTGAATCCTCTCAGCCCCCACACCTCTGGCTTACCCCCCAGTTCTTGTATGCATAAAATCTTTTTTTAAAAAAGAAACGGCATCTGGCCCTCTCTGGTGGCGCAGCAGGTTAAAGCACAGCACTAAGAAGCTAAAGCCACTTCAGCATGAGTTTGATCACCACCAGCCCTGGAGGTGATCCAGATGGCACGGCAGACCTCTCCTGACCCACCCACTGCTCCCCTCAGCAGTGTACTTCATCAATCTCTCTGTTCTGCTCCCCACTCTGTCTCTGGTGAAGCCTCTCACCACCCCTGAGCCTCTGGTCTGTACCCCACTTCTGTATGCACAAATAAATAAATCTTTTAAAAAAAAGAAAGAAAAGAAACGGCATCTGGATAGCTTCAGCATAGTCTTTCAGGTGCTTGCTCTTAAGGAAGCAGAAGGAACTTCACATGACACTTTATAGATTGGTCAGTCCAGATAAGAGCTAAGTTTCTCCAGACCAGCCTGACACTCATCCTCAGTCCACTTCCATAACACTCCAAGAGCACATCAGACTCTGGAAAATTCTTCAAGATTTTGTATTAACTGCACAGGGTACTACACACAGTATGTGCCTACTAAAGGACTCAGATTTGTAAATTAACTCCAATCTCCAGAGATTCCAGCAACCTACTGACAGGTAAACTGCAGAATTTCTCATGGGAAGTCTTTGGGAATCACAAACACTAGATGGTCAGAAAATTGTTTCTCTGATGAGACTCCTGCTGAGTCCACTTCCTTTTCTATTCTAGAGGAAGAGAAGCAAAGACAGAAGGAGTTGGAAATGCAATTAGCAGAAGAACAAAAACGCCTGATGGAAATGGCTGAAGAAGAATGGCTGGAGTACCAACAGAGGAAACAGGAAGCAGAAGAGAAGGCTCGGATGGAAGCAGAGGAGCTAAGGCAAAAGGAAGAGGAAGCCTCAAGGCTTGCTCTGCAGGAAGCCATGAAACTAGCCCAGGAACAAGCCAGGTACTGGATATCCATTTGGGCAATAGTGGCCATAAGGGGGACTGTTAGGGAATTTGACGAACTGGTTATGTACTAGTACTAACTTTGCATGACTTTGGACAACAGAAGTTTTTCCGCACCTACATAAGCAGAGTTTGGAAGAAAAATAGAGATTCTCTGGCTACAAGTATCAGAATTTTTTCAAAGTTTAAGGAACCTGTACTTGAGTTGAAAGGGGGTTTCGAGATCCATCTGTCTCAGTCCTCACTTGTACAGATGAGAAAAATGAGTTCCACAAAGGACGAAGGGTCTCAATCAGGGTCAAACACTGAGTTAGGAACAGTGCCAAGATCAGACCTCAGATACTGATTCTGAAGCTCTGGCTTGCTCACAGACTTACTGGATATCTATTATATGCCAGACACCATTTTGGGCAATGGGAATTCAGGAGTAAGGAAGACAAATGTCTGTCCCACTATGGAATTTACATGGGGGTGGGGGAGAGAGGAGACAGATTCTAAACAAGAAAAAAAGCTTAAAAAAAAAAAAAACCTGACTATACAGGGAAGGAAAAAAACTTTATGTGAAAGGATTGCAGAAGGCTGAGTTTAGATTTGCTGACCAGGGCAAGACTTGAGAAGAGATATTTAAGGTGAATTCTGAACAAGAAGTTGTCAGCAGTAAGTGTAAAGGGTCAAAGAAAGGAATGAGTGTTGGAATAAAAGAAAAGTCAGCATGGCTGGAGCTACACTGTCCAGTAAGTAGAAGCATGAAGTTCACAGGTGAACAAGATGCAAAGAATACTTCCAGGTAAGTCAGAAAAGCAGACTAAGTCCAGATCTAATGGGGCCTTGTTAGGAGAAATAGCACAGAATCAGTTATCAGGGGTCAATGGCAGTTTCCCTTTTCACACAATAGCAATGATAATTACATTTTTGATGATAGGCTCTCTTGAGTAATCAGCTCTTAAAACTTAGTTCCTAATATCATAAATTTCCCCTCCTTAATGGAAATAAAGTCATCCTCCTTTAGAACCATCAAAATTGAAGGGTAAAGGAGCAGACATTAGAAACTCCATGATTGCAATTTTAACTGTAAACAGTTTACCCCTTGAAATGTGTTTTTCACAAGTTAAGCTGAAACTTTTTAGGGGACCAGAAAGAAGCCAGAACAACTGTTTCAAGGTTTTCCACCTAACCTTGAGTTGTTCCTCTTCTGGATTTCCCTCAGCTCCCATATGACTTACAAACCAGCTAATTATGTGAATCTTGATTCTATTTCAAAATTATGTATTCCATGTACCATAGCAGTAAGGCTGAGTTAATAAGTATTGAGACCAATAGCAAACTTATTAGAGTTCCAACTTTCCATGAAAAGAAAACTAACAAGCTTTATTGAGAATAAGTTAGGCAATTTTGTAAGGTTAATCCAAATAGCTATTTAAAAAAAAAAAAAAACAGTAATGGGGTACAATGAGAAGTAGAACTTCACTCTACCAAGAGTTAGAAAAATTTGAGGCCAAATGAATATTTCATCTTCACTTGTAACACTGACTCAGGTACCCTAATTTCTCCACCTGGTTTCCTCAACTCTAAAACAAGGGAGTTGTTTTCCCCAGCAACTTAAGATCTGCTAACACCTTTCCTAGGAGGTACATATACTCTATGCATATAAAGGCACTAAGTAAACAGTGTAATCACTAAAATGCAGTATCAGTAGTCCCAAGTCTATCTGATGGCCTACTAGCTTATAAAGACAATTTCTGGAATGTTTAATCAGGTATTGGGTCTGGGGGCGGGGTTGTCTCCTTAGGCAAAAATCTGCTTTGAAGAAACGTCTTCATTTCCAGCAAGAACTCCATAAGGAAGCCAGTGGTTTGCAGTGGACACATAATATTTCCAGATCGTGGGCCTATTCTTATTTCCAGTTACTGCAAATACCCAAACCTTAAGGATAGAAGATAACAAGTAAGTTGCAAGATGGCGACAAAAAGAGAAACTTCCTTCTAAGTTTCTTATTTAGTACAATTTCATTTTATCTGGTACACCTCAAACCACACCTGACTTCACTGGAACTCCATTCCCACCACTCCTCCCCACCACTACATATTTGGTGTAGCCCAAGTAAATACATCACCCACCTAAATTCTTTATGTACTCTAGAACCACATATATTCAGACACACTGGTGCTTAAAACGGTAAATTCTAGTTTAACTGCAGTTAAGACATTATATATGGTCGTAGGATAGTAAAAGTATTTCATCTCAGTCAATGTCTTAAAGAATTGTAAAGCAGGGCCCTCCCTGGTGGCACAGCAGGATAAAGCACAGCACTCAGAAGCTAACGCCACTTCAGCCTGAGTTCAATTCCCACCTGCCCCAAAATGACCCACATGGCGCGGCAGACCTCTCCTGACCCGCCCACTGCTCCCCTCAGCGGTGTACTTCGCCAATTAGCCTGTTCTGCTGCCCACTCTGTCTCTGGTGGATCCTCTCACTGCCCCTACACCTCTGGCCTGTACCCCAGTTCTGTATGCATAAATTAATAAATCTTTAAAAAAAAAAAAGAATTGTAAAGCAAGTAACTCTGAGCTAAGAGAAGCAAATGCATATATTTAAATAACTTTATCTGTATAAGGCAAAACAGCATCCATTTCTTCCTAAGAATCCAAATTTTAATGTCTATTTTGATGTCCAGGGCCCTCGGGTAGCCTAGGGGGTAAGTCTCAGAGCTATCACCACAAGAGCCCTCTGTTGACCTGAGTTCCATCCCATGTGAGGGAGGTGACTCACATGGCACAGCAGACCTCTCCTCTCTTGCCCACTGCTCCCCTTAGCCATGTATCTCAGTAGATCTGCCTGTTTTATCCCCCACTGTCTCTGGTGAATCCTCTCATCACCCACACCAAACTCTCCTATGCAAAAATAAATGAAATCTTAATAGTTAATTTGAGCAAACTGGACTGTCCTCATAGCCTCAATATTGAGAGCTGTACTGTCCACAAAGAAGCCACATGTAGCTAAAGTAAACTCTCCAATCACACTAGCCACATTTCAAGTTTTCAGTGTGATTGTAGAATTTACCACATTTCAGCGATAGGTGTCTACTACCATATTAGACAACACAAAGAATATTTTTGTTATCACAGAAAGGTCTATTGGATCTGCTAAGAGCCCTGAAAACTAATATAACTTGGTTTTGTCCCTCTGCATTTAAGAACCAACCACTCACAAAATTTTCCTAATCTTAGTCATATTAACTCTATCAAGGCAGTCTTGATAAATGTCTTTAACATCTCTTTCAATACTTATGAACTATCATAAAATGATCACTAAAGGAGATGAGAGCAATTTCACAAACAAAATACATAAAAGGATGTTAAAGCAAGCAGTATTTTCCCACAAATTTCCTTTAGCCCTATTCTACTTTCCTATGCACCAGCTGCAAGAAATATTTGCAGATTCCCTCAAATGTCTCATTAATGCTTCTAAGTTCTCTTTATATGTAATATATTCAATACTTTATTCAAAATTTTGTTTGAGATGATTCTGCCCAACTAATGTGTTCTGAGCACATTTAAGGTGAGCTCTAATTTGCTTTCTTCAGGAAATATACTTCTACAATGCAGAAGTCAAGCTGAATTTTTATTTTATATTGTTATTGAACTTAATAGCATTTTATGCTTATTTTTAACTCCCTGCTTTATGTCACATTAGAGAAAAATAAAAAGGTCAAAACACTGGCTAAGTAAATTTAAATGTTTTCCCAAACTTGTAACAGTCCTATTTGCACATTCATTCAGTCAGTAATGTTTATAATCAGATGTGAAAGTAGCATTTCAAATAACTCAATCAGGAACAGAACAACACTCAAGACAACCTTGTGGGAGAAATTACCATTATGACTTTATATCCTTCCTTCTCTTACAAACTGAGGATGTACAGTCAAACACCAAGTGTGACTATACTGTTACTCCTTTCCAAATCTGGTATTCTATTAAACTGTTGCTGGGAAATGTCTATTTTATGAGCACTACATCAGATGAACACATTTGTAAACAGTAATCAAAGCACACTGTGATACATTTAGGAGAATTTGGTAAACTAAAAATATTCCCCAGTAACTAAGCTCCACCTTAATGCTGAGTGCCTTCACAATACTCAGAGATGCAACAAAATGATGATACCAAACTACCTATTTTTGCATTCAGATAACTCAAATAGCCAATCAAATTTATTACTCAGTCCTGCAACTCCTAGAAATGAAGCTACTTCCTTCCTAGTCACATAATATGGTGAATGATAAAGCTAGCAATAGCCTAAAAATACTATCCTAGACTATAACTGTACTATGCGAATAATCTTTCAATTAGGGTTAGATACAGGAATTCACAAGGCATGTCAATTATTTTTAAAAAGATGAATTAATAGGGTGTTTAAGCTGTAAGTTCATAAAATGTGTTTGATATTTGACCTTTTTATCATGATTCTATTTGGGATAACATGAAATTGCATTATGAGTATGCATAGATAAGGTGAATTCTGTGATCAACTAAAGTGTCAAAAGAAAAAGCTAAGCACTCTAATAAGAACTTATTTTGGTATTTTAATTTTATATAAAGTTTAAATATTTTAGAAGGAACTAAAAAGAAAATAGACAAAATACACCCAACCTTAAGTAAACAGAAAACATTTTGAAAATTGTTAAAGGGTAAAATGAAATTATCAATATAAATCATTTGAGAAATTTTGTCGTGCCCATTTATTCAACATGATTGGGTAACTGTCATGTATATCACACTATACAGGAATGCCAAGTTGTTTGAAAAAAAGAACACTGAGTATTTAATAAAGTATTGCGACCTTAATGAAATCCTTGATTCAGAAGGCACTTTAGTTACTTTCAGTGCTTCAAATTCAAAGTCATAGTATCATCACTTACAGAACCAAAGAAAAAATTTATCTGTACCATGTACAAACAATGATATCCAGTACTACGCAAAAAAAGCCTTGTTTAGACATTCTTCTTTCTATACAATTAAAAATAAAGTGAACATTAGTACGATTTTTACAAATATTTTGTTTATTTTAATGAAGT